AATAATTATATTCAACTTATAATTAATTGTTTTAGGTACATTGACAAATTGAGTGTGGAACAAGAAAAATCTGAAGTATACAGATTTATTGAGCCTCAATCCATCCAAAAATCTAAAAATACAAAGGTTGGAATCCAACAATATATGCAAACATGGATGAGTGACTCAAAAATACATATATATTTGGCTTCATACATTGAAGGGTTAGTATTTTAATTTATATTTTTATAACTATTTTTTATGTCATATATTGTAGGTCTCATTGACAGTTAATTGTAATCATGCCCCGGGATTACACTATGGTGTGGTTTTGTTCATTACATCGGAAACCGAATCAAGAAATGAAAAGTTTGTTACAAGGGTAACTTTATCTTTTGTTCATTAATTATGTTTTTAAATTGTAAATACATATTGAATAATATATGACTTTTTTCACTTAGAATCGTGTTTGGAACTAATGTTCTAAGTGGAAAACCCGAACAAAGACTTTGTCGTTCATTTATCCTAAAGTTAGAAATATATTTATATAAATGAATACCATAATTATTATTTGTATTTAAATTTTGAAAATAACATTATGTTTTATTCATCATTTCAGTGTAATAAGCAAACGAGACTCATTTGAATGTGGTTACTATGTTATGTATTGGATGAGAGTCATAGTTTGTGTGGGTATAACGGATTCTTGGACAAAGGTAATTGCTTTCAACATTAGTTAAGTTTATTTAACTTTATACATGTTGCATGTTTACAAGAGTCAAATTAATGTTTCAGGTATTTCAAGATCAATCTCCATTGCCAGAATATGATATTACACAAATTAGAGAACAATGGGCAAGGTTTTTCGTTCAACAATTCTAGTACTTAATTTTTTAGGTTATTGTTAATATTATATTGTACTAACTTTTAGTTTGTAATAGATTTTAGTGTGTAGGTTATTGTTTGTATTATATTGTTTTATTATGTAGTTTGAATTATATATAATATTATATTTTTAATTTACTAGTTAAAGAAACTTGAACCTCCGGATCTGTCTCGGTTATAATATATATTTGTAGGTTTTGGTTGTAAGATAAAATAAACCCAACTTTTTTAAAAAAAGGAGCAAATTTACGTCGCGTATACTAATATGTGACGTAAATTTATGTCACGTATACCAATACGTGACGTAAATTTGCTCATTTTTTTTTTTAATTTTCGAAACTTTTTATGTCTGTTTAGTAGTATATGCAACGTAAATTAACGTCGGGTCTTTATAACTGACGTAAATTTACGTTGGGCTAAGGGGTCTGACGTAAATTTACATATCCCGTTTTAACGTCAGTCTTAAATACGACGTAAAAAGCCCAAAATATCTGACGTAAAAGCCCTTTTTTGCACTAGTGTCATATAAGTCTCAGTCTTCTTGTATTCATTTATTGAGATATTCTTCTTTGTCTAAAAAATTATCTACTATAGCAGAAAGCACCTTGTTATATGCCTATAAATGTGTTTGTGAAAGTTAGGTTGTACAAGAGTGATATAACAAATGTCTAATAATGAATAGTATATTATTTTAGATGATCATCTATTTATAGTATTTTAATGTGTTTATGCATGTTTAATTATTTTCATTATGATAATTGGGTTGATCATTTATCTTAATCATGTTCATTATGTTTTGTTTAAGATTTATAAGAAGGAAGTTTTTTATGTTGGGATTAAGGTGGAGACAGAATTAAAAGTTGAAGATGCTCTTACAAGCCTCTAATGGAAAGTTACTTTCAAGCAATTAATACTTTGTTTAAGCATCTCAATAAACAACTCACATTGGAGATGCTCTTATAAGCCTTGAAATTTTCAAGTCCATCCAAGAAGCCGCGGGGTGACTCTTGGTTTATAATGTTCATACATTTGTTATGCCACCAAGTCATGGCATAATCCTCAAATTCTAAGATACGAATTCTACTTACTCTTGTTCCCTAATTATATGAATGGTAAAAATTTGGTCCACTTTTTGCTCCCACTCCAAGTAGATGTTGGGATCTTCTTCTCCTTTGAACTTTAAAATCTTGATTGGTGGTGGTTGTCTCCTTGGAGGGGAATGACACCTCCTCCTTCCTCCATAATCCTCATAAGTGTCTCTTGAATATGAACTTATCCTCTTCCTATCTTCCTCCCTTAGTTCAAGCCTTTGGATGTGTTCTCTAAGCATCATTTCACTTTGTCTTTTATCTTCCCTTAGTTTGCAATGGTCTCCCATCTACTCTCTTCTAGTTGTTGCACAAGTTGAATCAAACTACGGTCTCCTTATTGTGCAAGGGGAGTGATGGTGGGAGGTAAATAGGCTTCATGTGACTCTTCTTCCTCTATTTCTTCCAAGATAGGAGACAAATTTTCACCATCTAGGTCCATATTACTCAAACCAAAAATAAACACAAGAGTTAGCACAAGTATGAGTTAAAAATCGAGGTAATCCCCACCCCACAATGCAATTTTCCAAGTGTTTGGATGCACACTCCTAACAACACAAGGCTAGACTATCACTCTCACTTCTCAAAGGGTGGAAATCACTCCAAATTTTTCAAAACCTTTTCTCACCAAGCAACTTAGGTCACGGTTTTCACCAACTATAAGGCCAAAGAAAAGAAAACTAGCAAGGACAAAACAAGGACCCTAAGACAAGCAAGAAAAGTACAAAAACAAGAAAGCAAAACTCTAAGAGGAAAAATTTTTGAGACAAAACTTTAGCAAGACTAACACAAGAAAAACACTTTAAAAGACTCTATGAAAAAAATATTTGAACATGCCTTTGAACAACTTAAATCATCCACATCCCAAGGAAGACAAGAACCACATAGTTTTTATGGAACTAATTTGTCAATATCACTATATTCAAGTTTTCAATTTGAGAGCATAACCCCTTAGAAAAAATGCAATTTCACTTTCCCAAGCTCCAAATTTGGTCTCGGTTTTTAGCTAGAATTTTGGGAAATGTTTTTTCTTCCCAAGGTGATAGAAAAGGGTTTCAAGGTGTCTTGAACACTTAATTCCTTGAGTTTTAGTCACAAATCAATTCCAAAGCACATACACTCAACAAGTCATGTAAACATGCAAGATTCAAATATTTTAGAACAACAAAACCACTAGTTAACATATGACATATGACTCAAAATCAAAGATAAACACATTTAAAGACTATTCAACATGAGAGACAAAATTTAACATGGTAACACTACAAGTAGCTCTCGATTTTCCAAGCAAAAAAAACCAACAAAATCATGTTCACAACTTCACAAGGTCACCAATATATGAAGATGGAGTTTTAGATACTTAAACCTTGAAGTGAAGCGAAAAAATGTGCAACACCAAGTTTGAACAAACCAAGGCCGAGAGTCCACCAAGAGTAACAACACAAGACAATAAAAGTTAGCACAAGAAAAACACCATATTCAAGATAACCATGGCTCTAGATACCAACTGATGTAGATTCACTTTAGTTCTTTGAAATAGGGTGTTGGATTACTTAAGAAAACCTAGGAAATTTTTTCACTGGACATTAAGATAGCAAACTATCTAGATGTGAATGTGCATTTCAAACGACTCAAGAGAGGAGTGAATGGAATTAATATTGATTAGCAAAACAACACATGAACAAGGAGTAAATATAAAAGAAAAGAACAACAAAATATAAGATATAGAGGATGGTGATGGTGAGGAAACACATCACTCTTTGGACAAGGGCCATAATAGGCACACAAAGTCAAGAGATAAGTGGTGAAACCGCCACTTGTTTAAGAGCAAGATAAGGTCATGGAGTCTCCACCCTAGGGAGAAGATGTTCACGGAAATATGATTGGACAAAGGAGTATTTTGATTTCAAATGTTCAACCCCTACAAAGGAGAAGAAGCACCCCTTAAATAGATAGTCTTGAGGGCTTCTTAGCAAATAACAAAAGTTCTAAAAGGGTACATATGTAAATCCTAAAAAGTATCTTCTACAAACCTAACATGAAAGCAAGGAAAAGACAAATAGAATGTTGGACTTCCTATGGTGATTCTTGGCTAAGACTAAGGAGGAGATCACATTTGTCTCATTCACCACCATAAAACACTTTTCTCTTTATGTTTTTGCTTTATGCTTTCCACCTCATGCACATGTGGTCCAATCCTAGCTTGCAATGTGGAGAGTCCTAATCATCCTCTTAATCCATGCTTAACCTACAAGACACACAAATGAAACTAGATTAGCAATGTTGACTTGAGTCAAGTCAACTTCAATAAAAAAGTCAATTCAAGTCAAAGTCAACAAGTCAACTAAAATTAACTCTCCTCAATTCAACTTAGAGAATTCAAATTAAGCTAATGGAAAATAAAGATAGGGTAGAACTAGAAGACTTCCCCCTTGTCATGCCTTCATCACCTATGTTCGATAAGGTGTAAGATGACAAAAAGTCCTATAAGAAAAAAAAAATTGACTTTCTTTACCTGATTTGTTCTAAGCATTATACTCTTAGACTACTCCGAAGCTCGATGATGAGTAAGTTGACAAAGAGTCCTAGAGGAAAAAAACTCACTTTCTTTATTTGATATGAACTTCACATTCTAGTTATTACTAACCTCATAGGCTTAAAGAGGTGTAAAATGGGGAGAGATCTTTACGAAAAAATAAAATTTCACTTCGGCATTCATTGTATACTGACCCTCCATGCTAGAAGAGGTATAAGATGACAAAGAGTTTTAGAATAAAGTTCTAAAATGTAGGTGTGTGAGAATGTATGCAAATTAGCAAGAGTTTTGATCTAAATGTGATGTTTCGAGAGCTTCAAGAGTTGAATTGTAGCCATCAGATTGTGAAGATCTAACGGTTTGTAGTTCGTAATTTTTCAATATGTGCTCCTTTCTCTTTATAAATATAGCATAGGTTTCATTCTTAGGGACACTTGTGTGTTTCTTTTCTTGCCTAAATTGTGTAACTTTCGAAGTCAGGTTAAGTTATCATGTTTTCTTTTATTGTTGTCATGGATTTTTCATGTGGATTAATGTTGGGGTCAAAGGGGGAAGAAGTGTTGGGTAATTCAACAAGGGATAGTTTTGAGCTAAAATCAAGTGGGTCATCATTTTCCAATGGTCAACATACCTATAACAATGACAATGGGTGTGAAGATGTCGGTAATGTGGCCACTCAGTTAATGGTTGAGTAGGAAAAGATAAATTTACCATTGAAAAGAGGCTATAATTAGGTTGATTCCCAAGTCAAAGTAATTTTTGAAGTATCGTTAGTCATCTTTGCTAACATCTTTTGTGACAAGCTAATGTGTACTAGAGGGGTCAGTTGAGGAGAAAATAGTATCACTTAGTCATGTTATGCTATCAATAATGTTTGTCATGTTAGGTCTTTTGAAGGGGATTTACTGAGGAGAAACACAATACCAATGAGACATGAGTTCTACCCACATAAGGATTGACACCACTCTCAACCCAAAACCTTAAGATATTGGGTTATGGGTCTTTCTTCCTTATATGTTGCTCATCTTCCTCATTCTTACTCAATGTGGAACTTAGACTCACACTTGTATTACCCAACAATCTCCCCCTCAAGTGTGACTTCCTCCACATTGGTACCATCATTCATCATAACGGGACACACTTACTTGACCCTAGGTCTTTCGAGGGATTTACCACTATTAGGTCTTTCGATCAACCTTCGACTCTAATACCACTGTTAGGTCTTTCGAGGGGGATTTACTGGGAAAAAACATAACATCAATGAAACATGAGTCTTACTCACATAAGGATTGACATCACTTTTAACCCAAACCTTAAGGCATTGGGTTATGAGTCTTTTTTTCCTTATATGTTGTTCAACTTCCTTATATGTTGCTCAACTTCCTCATTCTTATTTAATGTGGGACTTAGACTCACACTTGTATTACCTAACATGTCATGGTTAGGAGGATTGGTTTAATGGCTTCTTTTTATATATGTATATATGCTCGATGTGGGATCTGCATGTTTAGTTTCTCTTTGATGAATGTATAATGGATGTCTTATGTGTTCTCAATGTTAACCTAACACAGTTTCATCTTAATAGTTAACCATCTATAGGAGTTAAAAATAGTATGTTAGTCTTTTACATTTAAACCTTACTCAACAAGTTTTTCTACATCAATTTAGTACTCAGGTGGCCAAATTGGTTGCTTGCCATTGATTGGATAACCATCAAATACCTTATTTAAGACATTTATTTTGTCTTATAAAAATTTTAAGACATATTTTTAAGATCCATTTTGAAGAGGGTGGGAGGTGTTTTTTCTATGATGGAGACAACCTCAAGTTTCCTTTTTATTAGACTCCAAAACCAACTGAATGCTGACATTGGTAGAGATTTAACATGACTCATTCGGATTCAAGGATGTTAGAAGTTAATGTTATGTTCTCCCCTTAATTGCCCACTTGAAAACTAATTGGGGCATATTTATCGTCTTGTCATTCATGCAATTTGTTGGTATGATGTGTTTCTTTGATTATCAATTTGTCATTCTCAACCTTAATTATGCTAAATTGCTTTCATGATTGTAGATAATAGATACAACTTTTCTAAAATCAAAAGGTCTATTCAAGGAAAAGGGGGTGGGCAAAGAGTCATTTGTCGTTAAAGAGCCAAAACCTAACATTCTTCTTCTGTGTGCAAATTTTAAGCAAAAGCACAAGAAAAAAAGAGAATAGATGGCAACATGCCAAGAGTCCCTCTATAGAATGTTCACCCAAATATACTCAACATCAGAAGAAGACTATGAAGTCTAGTATGTTCTTGAGGAGTAATTCCCAAGTGTCTTTAAAAGTCAACACTACACATATAATTTATGCTCTGATAGAGTTGTTAAGATGTCTAAGTTTTCATGGACCTTGAAACCCATGTGTTTCTATTAGGAAAGTATTTATGAATGAAATTAATCAATTCGAGTGATTAAGACAAGTAACTCATTAAAAAAAGCATTGGAAGTCAACTCATTAAAAAAAGTATTGGAAATCAACTCATTATGGAATGAAAAATTAAAAAAAACTAGAAAAGCTAATTATGACCTCTTCAAAGTATTTTTTATGGAGAACCTAATCCTAAAGTACGAGAATAAGAAGACTATTTTCATAAAGTATGTAAATACTTTAAAGAAAAATGTGATCGAAATGATAATGTCTTGTAATAAGAAAGTCAAGTTAAATAAGTTAATCAAGAAGAGATTAAAAAAGTTAAAATTATACGTTATAGATAAATATATGAAGAGTTTCAATAAAAGCCCTCGTTAGATCAACTTCTTCTTTACAATTCACATATATAATAAATGTTTTTACATTCATAAAAATTTGTATAAAGAAAAACATGTTTTTCTTTGTGTTAATCTTAATAAAGATGAAAAGGCAAGAATATACGAGAGATTTTTTTAATAATAATATTGTAAATGAATAAAAAGATGAAATTAATAAAAAATCAAAAGATAAAAATTATACATTTTTTGTCTTTTTCTATAAAATAAATATTTTTTAAATTGATACTTGAATATTAATAAATAAATAATTTTCATATTTTTATTATTTTTTTATTTTAAATATATCCTTATATATTATTATTATTATTATTATGAAAATTTAATATAAATATGAACTAAATTTATTGCATTATAATATACAAAGATTAAATTATGTTTTTAATAATATTATGTAAACATTTATTTAAAATAAAAAATAATTATACAAAATTAAAATTACTTTTAAAATTTATATTTTAAATTATTTAAATGGTACTACAAAATTCACACGAACAAAATTTACCACCTAATGGGCAAAACATTGTTCATCGATTAACACAGACTTGGTCGATCCTTCAAATCCAAACTGTGAATCCCTCATCATTCGATTCTCGGCATTCCACTTCACGCGCTCCCTCTCCCTCGTTCTCCTACTCGCAATTTCTGCTTCTGATTATTCTCACATACCTGAAATTCTCTGAAACATGTCTGGCGAAGAGGAAGAAAACGCCGCAGAGCTCAAAATTGGAGACGGTATTTTATTGTATTTTAATTTCAAATTTGATTTGCTTATTTGAACCGTTTTTCTATAAGTCGATGTTCTGCCCTATAGAATCACTGTGCTTTTCCCATAGGGGTAGGGGTAGATTTTGCAATCTGTTACACCATACGCGTTCGGCAACTTTTCAAACCAACTTTCTATTATAATTTGTCAAATTTTACTTTGTGCTTCGTAAATCATCGGTTGAATTGGTGGAATGTTTGATGAGGACTGGCATAAGTTATGGTACAATAATATATGAATTGGGGAAACCCTAAACCGTCAGTTGTAAGCGTTTGGTTTAGTCCCTGATTATAGGAAACACATTCATGACATGACAGTGAAAAAAGGAAGTAGAAAAGGGCTAAAATCAATAAATTCTTTTTAACCAAATTATGGGTGTCGTGAAATTAGGGACTACAGTGATGCGCACATACAATTTAATGATTTAAATGGAATTTTCTATTTCTGAATTTTAATTTTAAATAAATGGCCTATTGGTAAATGGTTAAATTTGATGCTGCTAACAAGCATGGCTAACATGCTTTGCATAGCAAACTGGATCACTTGCTGTCTATGAGATGTCAGAGTAGAAGGCCGAATGATCTGTGCCACTAGGGCATGTAGTCACAACAAAGTGAACAAACATAACATGTAAGTTATATGCTTAATGTCAAGCTATTGGTGGGAGTTTCGTCATTTGCTCAGTGTATGAATTGGCTCAACTTTTGGCTCTTAGGTCTCCCCTGATTTTGAGTTATTATTTTCTTGCTAATGCTGAAGTAATGTCAAAATGCAAAGTCTTGTCGGTGTTTCAATGCTTGAACATGTTATATGTCTGGTATATTTGTTTCCGCCTTTTGATTTCACGGTAATGGAAAAGGCTTTTGTTTTTATTTTTTTCAGAGTTTTTGAAGGCAAAATGCTTAATGAACTGTGAAGTTTCTTTGATTCTTGAGCACAAGTATGAGCAACTTCAACAGACATCTGATGATCCAATGAATCAAGTTTCTCAGTGAGTTGAATTCTTTATCAAGTTCGTGGTTGTTTCACACAAAGGTCTTGGAATAGTGTTTTTGTGATGCCCTGAGAATAACTAGTTTTTATCACAATTGGCTTGCACTTAATTCCCTCAGGATCTTATCTTTTATTACACAGCTGAAAAATGTGTTCCACTTTGGTTTCCTTTAAATGTAAATGATATTAACATTATAAAACATGACTGCAAACATCATGTTCCCAATTGAATTTTTTGCCACCGTTAGATTTGATATTTTGATAATGAGACAGAAGAAGATCAAAGTTGTCGAGCACCTGATGGCACTGATACCTTTTCTCTTTTTTTCTTTTTCAGGGTATTTGAAAAGTCGTTGCAGTATGTGAAGCGATTCAGCCGCTATAAAAACCCAGATGCTGTTAGACAAGTTCGAGAGTATCCTCCAAAACTAAATTAAATAACCCATTTGTCATTTCTATTTGCTCACACATTTACTTTTGGTCAAATCATGTTAATTCTTTAATAAAAAGTTGACCTAAGTTTGTAATTGACTTTTTTATTGTCTAGATTAATTTTTAAATTTTCCTCCAACTCAAATAATATCTCTGTTTTTTTATAGATTAAAGGACTATTGTATCTCATTTAGTACATCTTAGAAAATTGGTCTAGGTTAATTCCTTTTTTCCTGGAATTAGATTCAAAGAAACTCAATTATATAACCATACTTAAGAATTGTGATCTTAACTGATTTACAGAATTCTTGCAAGATATCAATTGGCTGAGTTTGAGGTAATACAACTGTTTCTTTCATGATTTCAAGATATCACATTTCATTTAGAAAAAGTAGTTTAGTTGTCAGTTTCAGACATTACAATATATGATTTTTTTTTGTTTAAATGAATCTGTTGCAGTTGTGTGTCCTAGGCAACCTTTGCCCGGAAACTGTGGAGGAAGCCATTGCTATGGTTCCATCTATCAAGGTAAAAATCATTTGCTCCTCCCTTTTCCCGTGTTAGGTATGTTTTTTTTTTTTTTTTTCTGGGGCTAGGTGAAGTTTAAACGTTTTTCATTTCCCTTTGGTGCTTGTTAGAATGAAGAAGGAAGGAAGCAGAGGATCTAATAAAAGCAAACATGATATGTTTTTCTATAAATTTTTGCTCTTCTATTAACAATTTTAATTTATACAAGTAAAGTTTGAGATACCATAAAAGGGTATAAAGTAATTTTAGTTTACGAAACACCTTGAAATGAAACAAGTAGTAAATACTGATAATTGAAAGATTTTGGTATGTTAACTAGGCGAAGTTTAAATGATTTTCATTCTCTCCATGATGCTTGTTATATGAACAAAGAAGGATGTAGAGGATTTAATAATAGCAAATATGATATTTTTTTATAAATTTCTGCTTGAAACACAGGAAGGGTGTAAAGTAATATTTGAAAGATAGCTGGTATGTTAACTAGAGATCTTTTATTTTTCTCTCTTTAAAATCCTCTCTGAAACAATTCCCTTCATATTCTCCCTCTAAGGATGAAATTTTGGTTACGTAGTTCTCGTCATTTACTGCTGGCTTACTATCTGCTACTTTGTTAGTTGGAAATATTATTCATGCCCTATTGGGTTATGTGAAGCTGCTAATCAGCAAGTTATATTTTTGCAGAATATATCTGAATAATAAACATAACTGCTATTAAATCTTTTATGTTAATTGCATAAATATTTTACCTGCAGACAAGAGGACGGGCTCAGGATGATGAAGCAATTGAGAAAATGTTGAACGACTTGTCATTGATTAAGAAGTTTGAATAGATATTTCTTACAGTGTGAGTGTGATATAACGTTATTGGTAACCATATAACGTCACTTGACTGGCGAACAAACATTCTTGTGGTTTGTAGTACAGAAACCCTTGATAATATCTAGTTTCTTTTGTGATTCTATCCAAGGAGGATTTTGACACATGCATGCTGGTTTATGAAAGCGGCTTTGACCTGTTATGATATAATTATGTGAATGTGTTTAGTGTGTTGCTATAACCATCTATTTATAGCACGATTGATTATTATACAACAAGACGTAATAATAGGGGTAAAGAAATATTGATCTGAGTACTGGTTCCGACTAATGTACAAGGCCTAGCAGTTAGCATTCGTTGGTGTGGCTTAATATTCTGGCGACGCTGTTTTTAGCGTTTATTAAGCGTTCTCAAACTCAGAAGACAATAGGCAGCATATTTTCAAAATAATATTTGATTTTCGGGAATTTGTATACTACGACATCTAGCACATAAATGAGTAGATATTGTGGTTGAGGAACATTATTGACAACGCTGTATTGGCGTTACGGTATATCTTTTAAGCAATGGCTTTATTTTGCTTATTGGGCATAAACTTCAAAACATAGTCTATTAGTTAACTCAACAATCTTTACAACAACCAGAACGAAGAAAGATTAACAGTGAACAGAAGAATGAAAAAAATACAAGTAATGGGAAATTGTTCTCCACCTACTGACACAAGAATAAAGAGCAATCGGGAGACTGAAAACTCGGAGGAGTTTCTCACAACAAAATTGCAGAAAGAGTATCTTACAAGGCTGGGAGAGAAATTATTCACCGTTAGATTTATTTGTTTTGAAATAGATGGCTGGACTTTTTCTTTGTTTTTCTTTCCAGGTTTAGACTTCACTTTTTTCACTTTCTCTTCCATTCTGTCTAGCACTGATTCTTCTTCTTCTTCCACCTAATTGCTCCCTTTGTCTCTCACACAGTGCACTGATAACAATGAAATTGTTCTCGTTGCACCTGCTGCTATATTCACCCTCACTCAATTCCATGCTGTGACACCTCTGATTTTCATTGTAGATTTGGTGAATTTGGCGGTGAAAGTTTATGGTGTGTTTTCTGGTCACATTGTAACTAATTAAAAGTTTTGTTGCTATATTCATTAATGGTTGATCTTTCCCAATATCTCACTTCAGCATAATACCTTCGTCTATAAGAAGGCTCTGTACAAGGTCTCATATCAATCATTTTGAAATTCAATGATTCACTGATTATTTTTTTACTTCAATTATAATACAGTTTGTAAGTCATTTCAATATTTGTATTAGAAAGTAAACATGATCTAATTCAATTGACGTATAAATTTTAGTGTTCGGAAGTTCCGTATTATTTTGTGTTATTAAATATGATTTAAATACATATTATTAATTAATTTTACATCAGAAATTTAACATAACATTAGAGCTAAAGTTTAACTCATTTTTTATTCTTCTCTTATATAAAAAATTGTTTGAGTAAAAATATCATAGCATGTTCTTGAATATATTACCTACATAATTAATAGTTGATTTTTACGCAAATGATTCGAAAAATATATTGTATAATCCTTTGAATATTAACGTAGATGGCAGAGCTGATTTGATACACTCCCTATATGATATGAAAGCAGCAACACAAACTTGTTGATAATAGCGATATAGATAATAGGAAGATGCAAACTTCTCTCTCACTATACTACTTGTATCATTCTGATAATCCTGACGTGAATATTTGGCTTATGATTTTGAATGGAGATAACTACGAATGAGAAATCAGTGTGCGCATAATGTGTTTGGAGCATAGCATAAGGTTTATTCCAAGAAACTATAACAGAATCAACGACAGATTGAAGGAGTGTTATTGGCAAAGTTCCTATCGGTGTTCCTAATGCTGTCATTTAGCATCACCCTCTCTTCACATCCCAAGCGAGAAGAAGTGTTATTGGCCCTACTTTCACAGATCATCCACGAAGTACCACTTCAAATATGTTTAATAATTTTTGTTACTATTATAATGATTTTTTTATAAAAATTATTATTATAAATAAATATATAATATTATAAAATCTATATTTTTATTGGTTTAATAAACCCATCGATTTTAATAATTGCAAGTTGATATATTGGTCATCCTATTTTCAATCAACAACCCTAAATAATAAAAAATAATTATTTTATATTAATATATTTAGTTATTAAATGGATGTTTTGTAAAACATGGATGTCAAATCAAATCGTTATTTCCGTTAAAAATATTAATTAAAATTTCACGTATATTTTTAAAGGGAGAATCTATTAAATAAAAAAGCAAAACCTGCATATTTAATAAAATACGTGTAATGTGTTATTGAATCTAAGTTTAGGTCATTCAAAATCAAGTTTAGTTTAATTTTAATGTTAGCTTTGTAACGTCAAATGCACAAGACCAAACATCATGTTAGACATCCATTAAAAAAAATGTATTGAAAACGTGATGCAAACGATAAAAACATGCGTTTGTGGTATTGGTTCGTTCGGTTTTTCCTATGCTTTCAAAACAACTACAAACACGCCCCACATGATGTTAAGAAAAAACAAACTGCAAAGTCACATCAAAGAAATGACACCCCACGGCAGATAAAGCATTATTTAGATTCTTGTAAATTACTAATTTATGTTTTCGATTTCTTTAATTTCCTTTTTTAGTTTTTTATTGACTTTTTTTAACTTTAGTATTTTTATTCTATGAAATATATGATTTTGGTTCAATATTTAATTTTGTATTTTTTTTATCTAAGTTAACTGTGGACTTAATATATCCATACCACAAAAAATATTTAGTTAATTTAAAAGTAAAATAACAAAACAAATTATGTATGTTAAATTAAAGATTGAATTAAAACTATAAATTTGAAACATCTAATAAGATATTTGTGTGGAACTTCTAACATCCCATGTTAAATAATTTGGCACTATCACTTTAAGAAATTTATATGAATGATAGATAATCAAAATATTAGTTAATATAGAAAATTCAAATTGAAAGGAAACGTTAACCTATTTAATATTTATTAAAATTTAAAAAATATTAGTTTTTATTTTCTTTGGATGATGATACACTTTAGAAATAGAAAAGTACAATGTTAGTTTGATATACATATATGTATATATAGTTTACACACCTTTTATTAGTTGGCTACAGGCAAATCTAGTTAAATTCAATCTTATTAAAAGAAAAAAAAAGAATTAAGAGGAATTTAATGTGTAAGTGTGAACACATTGTAATATTTTAAAAGAAAAGTAAAAGGAAAAAACACTGTTGTGGTCTAACTTAACAACCAAGTTAAAGACCATTCCCTTGGTAAAAGCAAGAAAATGCTTATAAAACGGCTTTCTTTTTCTTTCATATATGTTTGGAACAATATTTTTAAAATAAAAATAAAATATATTTTCTTAAATTGATAAAATTAATTTACATATAAATTAGAAAAGTGTAATTTTTTTACATTGTAATTTACACATAAGCTTGTTCTAGTCTATAGATAAATCAATTTTAATTTGTGTACAAAATGTGGAATTTGTACCTCATATATGTATTTAAGAGTGAATAAGATTATTTACTTTCTAAGATTAACTTGTTACTGGCTAATAGTTTGAGGGAATCAAATAATTATTCATGTAATTAATTTTAACATAAATTATTAATATGTTTAACTCAAATTAAATAATTGAAATAAATAATGTTTGTAATTAAGTTATGTTTCAACCAAAACAGTAAAACACCTAATAAAGTCACAATCTAGAAACCAGACGCGTTCAATCACGTTCCCGCACTTTCTCTCTCTTCTAAAACACGTCAACAGTGACGTCGTTTGTACACGTGTCAGACGATTACGTGTTCAACCCTTACAAAAGAACAGTTCACTCCCCATAATTCTTGAGCAGCAAGAAAAAAATATCTCCCACCGTTCACGCGCGCGCGCCCTATAAAACCTCTCGAAAACGCAACAAACCTAAACGCAGGAAAAAAAAAACTCCACACGGTTATCTCCAGCTTCCCGGTAAACCTCACCATGAGCGACGGCGAAAGTGCCTCCGCGCGATCGATTAATTTCGAGGACATCACAGTGGTCTCCGCCGTGGGGCGCGGCGCCAAGGGTGTGGTGTTTCTGGCGCGCGCCGATGATCGGTGGGCGAGCGAGTGCGTGGCGCTGAAAGTGATGTCGAAGGCGCTGATTGCGCAGAAGAAGGCGAGAAAGGAGGCGGAGGAGTACGGGAGGGTGTCGTTTGAAGAGGAAGTGCTGCGTCGTTTCGATCACCCGCTCTTACCAAGGCTGAGAGGCGTTTTGGAAACGGAGAAAGTGGTTGCGTTCGCCATTGATTACTGCCACGGTGGCACGCTCCATTCTCTCAGGAAGAAACAGACTGAGAAAACGTTCTCCGATGACACCATCAGGTAAGTTAGAAGAATAACTGTTCTCCGATAGCTGGTTACAGAGAAATTTTGCTTAAATGAGAATTTGTTCTGTTGCTAAACCTGAATTTTTTTTTTCTCATTCTTTTCACTGATAGGTTCAGCTTCCGAAAATGAAAATTTTGGAACTTTTTTTTTCTCCTTTATCAGCTCTTATTTGAGAAACAAAATTATTAATTTTAATTAATAAAACTAATAGGTACTGAATTTATTCTTTATTTTAAAACATTGAAGCACTCACAGATGCTTACGCATAATTTTTGGGGTTTTATTAAGAATGTAGAAAAGGGAAAGAATATAAATTTTTTAATTTGTTTACTCAATTCACTATTTTAATTTATTATTATTATATATTTAATGATAAAAAAATATACATATAATATTTTATTTAAACTAATAAAAGTATAATGAATCATATTATTTACATATTTAAAAAGTTTGATAACCAAAATTATATATATATACTATTAGGAGGACGTGACCATAAATAATTATAAATTTCTATAATTTATTCTCTTAATTTTTACATTATAATAGATGTATATACCTAAACTAATACAACATTAGATAAATAATAAGAATATAAATTATAAAAGAGTAAGTGATGTTCTATTAAAATTTAAAAATTATATTTAAATAAAATTTTCTTTTTAAATTTGTCTATTAAAAAAATCAAATATCATTTTAATAGTCAATACATTTTTCTTTTGAGTATTATAAAAAATAGTAAGCATTTTTCTAATTAAGTTTTTATAAATGAGGAAAAATATGTAAGAACATAGAGGAAAAATTTACTTAAAATGTATTTTCTAGGAAAACTTTTAAGCGTATAGTATGAATATGAATATTTTTTTGTAAAAATTAATAAAATATAAAGTATTTTAATTAATTATTGTGTAATAAAATCAAGTATTGCTTATGTCGGATACATTTAAAAAAATAAATAAAACTTTGGTTTTTCTTTAAATTATTATTGTCTTTTAATTCACGTACAAATTATAAAATCATTTAAATAAGTTCTCAAATATTAAACTATTTATTTGTTTGATTCTTATATTCATGAACTATAACATCTTTAATACAATTATAGCAATGTTTAAAATTGTTATTTTTTTTATAATCTAAACTATGCTTAAAAATTTGATAAGAGAGAAGATATTGATTCAATGGAATATTAAACCAGTAAGGTAAATTAGTGGAAACCAAGTTATTTTTCTTTTTGATTGGCAACAAGTTTGTTTTTTTTTTTTTCTGATAGTTTGATTTCAAGAAATTTTGTTTCTTTTGAAAGAGTATGATGGATTTTTCTTATGGCGTTTAAACAACGAGTCTTTGAAAATGGTTAAAATGTAGTTTTCATTTATTTTGTTGCCAACCAAACAGGACCGGATCTGATTGCCTGTCGTATATTTATCGCACCGTCCAATTAACCTTTATTTCCTTTCTTACTGTTTTTTTATTGTGAAAGTTAGGCCAAAAATCTATACAGAAAAAACAAAAGTATTAATCCTTCCTTTAGTATTTGTTAAAAGATTCAAGGTTATATAGTTCATCTACATAAAATAATAGGAACACAAATTTCTTTAATCCAAAGAGTATTTTAGATGAAATATAATTTATGTAAGACAAATTATATATTAATTTTTATATTCTATCGGTCCTAATTGCGGTTTATAAAATTTGTTCGTTAATTTAATTCGTAACATTAAATTTACTTATAATTTTAATATGTTTTAACATTATTCTTAAATCGTTAATATATAGAGAAAATAATATTAAAGATAAAAAAGGTTTCAATAAAAAACAATTAATTAAGTATAGGATTAAAAAATAGTCTTATATTTTATAATTGAGAACAATGACTTATGTGAATTTTTGGATATAAAAATGTGCAGGTTTTACGCTGTGGAATTGGTCCTGGCATTGGAATATTTACACGAACTGGGAATAGTATACAGAGATTTGAAGCCAGAGAACGTTATGATTCAAGAAAACGGCCACATAATGCTGGTCGATTTTGATCTCTCCAAAAAGCTAAATTCTAAATCTCCTCACTCACTGAGTCGAAACTCGTCCCCGAGTCTTAACTCAGAGAAACGTTTAAGAAAAAAACGGCTAACTCGTTTATACAGTTTTTGTAACTCGGGCATCTCGCCGTTAGACTCCGACTCGGAGCCCCCACTCCGCAGGTCCGACTCAGTGCGTCCCACCGAGTCTGACTCGGTTGAGAAATCAAATTCGTTCGTTGGAACAGAAGAGTACGTGGCACCAGAAATCTTGTCAGGAAAAGGTCACGGGTTTAGCGTAGATTGGTGGTCATACGGGGTCGTTTTATACGAGATGCTGTACGGCACGACGCCGTTTAAGGGCTCAAATAGAAAGGAAACGTTTTACCGAATTTTAACAGTTGAGCCAGAGTTAACGGGAGAGAAGACGGCGTTACGGGATTTAATTGCAAGATTATTGGAAAAGGATCCCGAGCGTCGGATCCAGGTGGAGGAGATCAAGGGCCACGAGTTCTTCAAAGGGGTGAAGTGGGAGAAAGTGTTGCACATTGCAAGACCACCTTATATTCCTGAAAATGAGGTCGAAAACAAAGTGGGGTTCAGCAAAAACGACGTGGAAGTGTTTGTGAACGAAGTGTTTTTCTCCACGAATGATGATGACGGTAGCGTAGAGAAAACAAAAACGGTGTTGGAAACGAAGGGTAATAATTGTGAGAACAACAACACGGCGTGGGTTGATGAATTGAATCACATTCCCACTCAGAAGAACCACGATTTTTTGATTTTTTGATTTTTATATCATTCTTTTCATTGACTAAATGTAGATCATACGTGTACATTTTCTTGGCACTTGATTGCCCTATAATTCAAATGCGCACTTATTACAAGTGTTTTATCGCATGCATATATTGTTTATTTGGTAAGTTAATTTATTAGTTCAGTCAAATTATTTATTGACAAAAAATTAAAAATAATTTGGCAAATTGGGTTGGATTGACTTATATGATATTAATTGTATTTTGGAAATTTAATCTTCAAATCACATAAGTCAATGTCGTTAAATCTAGCATGCTAGATTTCTTCTTCATCTACAAGTTACCATACATTATTTTCTAAAATATAAGCTACTATATTTTGTTCCAACCTCAATTCATTTAAAATATTTAAAGACACATTTTTTCACATGAGTTTCTTTAAATATATATTAAACTCTCCTTCTTCCTTTTTTTCAAGATTCTTAGGGAAAATTGGTGGGAACATATTATTAAAGAGAATGGTGACTAAAGCAACAAACATTGTTTATTTGGTGATGCCGATAAAGCAAGTCTCGCACAAACGAAGGTGTGCAGATTGACACGGAAGGCTCAAACACGTGTAGAATCTGAAGTTATCTTAATGGTAGATAAACTGTTGATGCAAAGTAAGTACCAATTCGTGAACAGTTGAACACACCCACATAATCAAAGTCTCGTGATAATGCATGAATGCAAGGACTTGAGAAAAGAACCAGAATCTGTTATTTTGGTCTCACTTGCGAACGTTGTAAATGCATCGATGGAGGAGTGTGTGAGATCACTCCACATGTCACTTGTGATCTTCTGATTCTGAACAACAAACTTTACACAGATGAATGGTTACGGAAACATGAAAACAAATTCTTAATAAGAGTTATTTCAAAATAAAAATGAATATCTTATATAAATTACTTTTTAATGATTTGTTAAAATTCTTTATATATATATAAATTTGTGTAATTTATATATCAAAATTATAATAAAATGTATTTTTTATTTCTAAATAAATTTTATTTATAAAGATATTTTTACTAACTATCTGTGGGAAGAAGGAATTATATGTTAAAATAATTAAATTATTGGGTTACAAATTTAGTGATTTAATTGTTATTGAAAGGTATTAATAAAATAGTAATAATAATTAAAATTTTAAAAAGTTAAAACGAATATTTTTTTTTAGATATTTATGATTCAAAATATACATAAATATCTACTTAAATATATTTGTTTAAATAACTTTAATTTCTCATCAATTTCTAAATTTTGTATATAATTTTTAATTTTTTTTATTTTAATTTGATCTTCTATAGAATTTTTATCCTTAACTTAGTCTCTACTATTTACTTAAATAACTTAAATCATTAAGTGACACACAATAAACTAAAATAAAAATGGTTATGAGCATATTTTTTTCTTTTACTTCTCAGTTAATTTTTTATAGCCATCAAAATTTTTATAGGTAAAACATATATTTTTTGTCCTTGGAAAATATTAAATATATTATAATAGTCTTTATAATTTTTTTTAGTTAAATTCATTTGAATTAAAAATATATTTTATAAATTAAAAAAAATCAAATATTATATATATATTATAAGAAATAATTTATTTACAAGAAAATTTAGTTACGGATTAAATACGTAGGTAAATAAGTAATTTATCTACATATCCTTACATACAAATTAGTATTTGTATGTAAGTTCTTATAACCTATCAATTTATTAGTAGATAAAAATGAAGTAGTATGAATTTTATCGCAGAAAATTTTGTCCTTATAAGGGGAAAATCATTTTTGAAAGATATAATTTGTAGGTATGAATAATGTAACCGTAGGTAATTAAATTGAGTTCTTAAGTACAATTATTACCTATAGATATTATAAAATATTTTATTAAAAAATTAAAATAAAACATGGGTATCCTACTTGATACCCCTTCTCTTTTTCTCACTTATAGTCGTAACATATATGCGCCCTACTTAACATCTCCTTCTTCCCTCCAAATCCATCTCCATACATTTTCTTCAACATTCTCCAATCAATCTCTTTATGTCCCCTACTTCGTTCTCAAATCTTTATTCCTAAATTCAAAACTCAAACTCTAAATTTTCCAAAATTTGTTCTTCCAATGACCAAGAGTCACTCGAAAATTGGGATTCGTTTGCATCACATTAGACTAAGTTAGGGTTATACCATATTTTCAAAGGAGTGTTATCACATTGTATTAGAGCACTACTGTAATAAATACTGTGGAAGACATTCTTCAATTTCGTTAGGTATATTCCATTTTTACTCAACTCTTTTTCTTACCATTTGTGTAATAATCTGTTTGTACGAATTTCTTTTTCATTATAAATGATTTTTTTTTTTTTAAATTGTGTTACGATCTTCTCCCCTCTTAATGGCAACATCAGTATTTGTTGTTTAAGATGTTCAACTTCAAATTTATTTTATAGATCTATAGGGTTTATTCTCTAATGGAAATTACAAGTGTAATATAGATACTTTTTTACTAATGTCTACTGTACAAAATGAACTAAAATCCTTTTAGTTTTTGGGATAAATGTATCTTAGTTTCGATAATGCATAGTCCATATTTTATTAGTATTCCCACCATTTTGAATAAATTAGGATATATTGTTTAATTATTTTACATATGTAAATTTGTTCAATGTAGGGAAACCTATTAAGAAACTGCAATTATCCTTTGCATAAATTTTTTACCCTAATGGGGATTTTGTTCCAAAATCACTAACACATGTTTGACACTAAAATTGGATTTTCACTCTAGTGTTAACATAGTTTTAATTTTGGATAAGAACTATGACTAACAATGAAACATGATTTGCTCACTATTCTTAATTTATTTCTCAATATCATAAATGGGAATAAAAATAACCCTACAAAGTTCTAGAAAATGATGACACTAATAATAGAAAATAACTCACAAAATATAAGTTTTTATTTGTGACTTGTTATTTGATTATGTGGATTGGATATTTTATGAAGATTTGCACTTCAATTTAAATATAATTATTTATTTGAACATATTTTTTTTGTTCATTCCTTCTCATCATATTGCTTTAATATTTCAATAATTTTGTGGACAATTAAATGTCTTAAGCAACATTCCAAAACTCATAAACAAATAAAACAAAATACAGTAGTAACACGATAAGAGACTTTGCATTCCTTTATTATGTAAATCATTGATTTGATTTATTTTATAATGACTGAATTTACTAAGTACATACAGTTTAATTTATTGAATTTTTTTCAATTATTTAGTTGTATATGTTACAAATTTGATCATTCAAATCTTGACAATTCTATTATTTTCTAATTTTTCTTATCGTGCTTTTGCATTGATGGTGTTATGTTGTAATACCTTATTACATTACTTTTTGTGTACCAAATATTATAATAAGTGCATTTTGCTTATTATCTTAACTTATATTTATTGAAATTATATAATAGGGGTTAATTATCTTAACTGTTCTTAAAAAAATTTAGGTATAAGGTGATTAATTACAATAATCATATTGATATGTTTTAAAGGATAAAAAAATGGAAAAGTAGGATGATTATGTTCTTTCAAACCTATCATTTTCACTTTTTAGCAAACATATTTGTTATAAAATTATTATTATGCTTGTGTTTTAAACTCATTATTTTACTAAATACTTATCATTTTAATGTAATAGATAAAGTGAATTATTAGTTTATATTATGCTCCTATACTTTAGTTCTAAAAATGTTTAGTTAATATTTTATTAGTTTTCCCTCCATCTAGACAAACTAAGAGATATTATCTAATTGTTCTACGCGTACAAATTTATTTAATATAGTGAAACCTATTAGGAAATCGCAAGTCAAACATTTTCATCCGAGGCAACTGACACTATAGACCTATTGGATCTTCCAGAAGGTTCTTTCTCCAAATCCAGGCCTTTTTAGAAATATCTATTGCATCCCCTAAATGAATAGCTAAAAGCCTTTCCTGAAAGGTCTTTCTCTAGGGCATGAGCAATCAAAACTTTAACAATCTAACGAAACTTCCTTCTGTATGTGGGCAACTTTTATACTCCTCTTATCATTCCAATTATCATGACAATTAATGTGTTCATCATTGCACACCCATCAGTCAAATTCATTAAGAACTTGATCAATATATTCACTAGTTATCATACTAGAATAGATTATCATGTACAGTAAGATTTGCTATTTTTATCTAAGCACTGATACTTCAGAGAGTGAAACCACACCTCAACATCATTATATCCACACAACAAATGTAGAGATTGATTCTCTAATTGATCACTTACCTTCTAGAAATTCCCTTAATTTGAGCGACTTTAAGAGGATCATGTATCATTAATCCACCGTTATTCCAAGCCTCCTGTCGTTGCTTGTTTCATCCAAAGAGAACTAATTTTTCCAAGTATCTCAATTCAGCTTCCCCCAATTTGATGACCCTTATCAATTCCTTCAGAACCATCACAGGATTGAAGAACTAATCCAACAACTTATCCTTTGGCCTATTAAAATAGGTAATCTCAAAGTCCTCAAGTAGCAATACATCACTTGAATTGGATTTGATGGAGAACATGAGTGCTTGTAGGAGTGAATAACAAGGCAAGCCAACACCAACTATGAAAGTTTCATCATTATTCTTTCCTCTCATCCATTCGCAGAGGTCAACAGCCGTAAGTACATTACCATCCAATAATTCCTTATCTCTCATCTCACAATACTTCATCATAATTCCCCAAATTTGTACACATCATAATTAAAAAAGGATTCAATCAAAGAAATGGGGAATGAAGAACAAAAAAGGTGAACAAACCTGATATACTACAACAGATGCATAAATTCCAACAAAAATGCTTGATAAAATAGTCAATATTATGCTAGCAAGGACAACCAATGGCCACATAAATATTGTCAAACCAACAATGGGGACACAACCTGTTTCAAGGAATGGACCTTCTCTACTAATCAAATCATGCAAAAGTTTTAACCAGCCCTTGAAAATGCAAAGAAAAATCATTGTTATAAGATCAATCTACACACTGGCAACCACACAACGCATAATCAATCAAACCTAAACCAATCCATCTACAATCAATCCAATAAAACAAGAATACACAACATAAAATCGAACTCAAATCATGGTAGAATCCTGCATCAAACAATATGCTAGCCACAAACAAAACCCTACTATCTATGAGAAAGAAAATTAGAACCAAAGAAGAAGTGGATGAAAATGGGAAAAAGGAATATGTAAGCAAACACTTAGGGTCAGCAGGGTTGCCCGATGCGGTGGTGGAGGTGAGTACTCACGATGGCGAGATTACCTAGGCCCGCGGGAGCATTAATTAGGCTGCAGGGGATTTGGGCTCGCGGTTATTGGGGGTGCTTGTCACGGTGGCCACTGGAGGTGCAGGGAGGAGGCTTGCAGCAGCGGTGCACCGAGGCGAAGTGGCACGGTGACGTTATGGGTTTGCCGCGAAGGTTTTTGAAGAGGCGAGTGGGGGCTCGCGGGTTTGCTGAAATGAGAATAGGGAAGAGAGGATGAATGGGTCAATCGGAAGTGGGGGATGGGTGCTGACTGTTCCGGTGGTTGGATGGGGCTCGCAGTGGGTACGAGGATGGAGGTCGTGGAGATTGGCTCGGGTTAATGATAGGTGTGGGCTGCGATTGAGGTGGCGCGACCGAGAAAGAGAGGCGCTATATCGTGGAGGCGTGACTGGTGGCTTGGGATACAATGGAGGTGTTGGCACGACGAAATCGGGGGGTCGACGATGACGAGAGGGGCCGATTGAGAGTAGGGATAGGGAATTTTGGTTTGGTTCACGGTGGCTCCATGATTAGGTGAGGGGGATGGAAGATTTGGGTGCTAGTCAAGTGTGAAGGTATAGGGAGAATGTGAGGATCTAAAGATGAGTGGAGGAACGCGAGGGGTAGGGGAGACTGAAAATGGGGTCGCGGGAGCCCCCTTTAATTTTTTTATTGTTTTTTAATTGGGTGCTAACATTTTGTTTTTTTTTTTTTAATTACACATTCGTAGGTAAATGAGTAGGTAAAGTAAGAAATGACCATTACCTACCTCTTACATCCGTAGGTAAATTTTGTAGGTAATGGATAATATACATATGGATAAAATTCTATAGGTAATATCTGTATGTAATGTATATTTTACCTACGGATTTTTATCCATAGGTTTTGTAGATAATACCCACTTTTTTGTAGTGTTGAAACCATCGTCAAAGGTGTCACAACGACAATACAATGACGATCATTAAATAACTGTCGTCGAATGTTTATTATACATTTTCCCACCACATTCCTCGTCTCCTCCTTCGTCCCTCGCGTCTCATCCTTCCTCCTCCTTCCATTTCATCTCATTTTCTTACTCTCAGTAGCGTCGTGCACCTCCAGTTTGCTCCCTACTCCTCCCCACTCCCTCTATATCACACTCTGCTGATTTGCGTTAAGCCCTGCCCATCCACATCAATCCTGCACCTTCGCGTCTCCTCCACCTCGCACCACACCTCGTCCGCTTCGCGTGTGGCTCGCTCCCTCTTGTTGGTCGTGCTCCCGGGTGGTTAACATTATTTGGTGGTGATTCATGATACAATGAATTGTTCCTCTCCAGTACGTAACTATTCTATTTTGATTAATGTATGGATTAATTTAGGGTTAACATTATGATGATTGATAGTGATATGGAATATTTTTGAACGAATTTATGTTGAGTTCAAGGATTTTGACCCCCAACAAATTGTATTGTTAACTGACTTATGTAGTTATATACATATTACATAATCTATAAATGGATAAAAGTTGGATTACTTGTGCCCGCATAACTGATGTGTATGAGAAAGGAGTGGAAGAATTTTTATTATTTGTACAACGAAACACTTCGACTAGTTTTATTGGTGAAAGATTTAGGTGTTCTTGTGTTAATTGTTTTAATGAAAGATTACTAAGTGATGAGCAAATTAGGGAGTATCTTTTATGTGACGGTTTTCTTAAAAATTACACAATTTGGACATGGCATGAACTATTAGATTTGTCATGTGTAAATGAATCTGACCATGATTTGGTTGATTCAACCATGGATGATCAACTAGAGGACACTGTAATGTTGGAGTAGAATGTTTTGTTAAAGCACATGTGTATGAAGATATGTGTAGTGATGCAGAGACTCCACTTTATCCTGGTTCAAGTAATTTCACACAGTTGTCAGCAGTTTTAAGATTGGTAAATTTGAAGGCAATGAATGAATGGATTGATAAAAGTTTCACTGAATTACTTTAATTGTTGAAGGAAATGCTTCCAAAAGAAAACATATTATCCAATCATAATTATGAGGCAAAAAGATACTTTGTTTAATGGGTATGGAGTATAAAAAGATATATGCATGTTCCAATGATTTTATTTTATATAAAAATAAGTTTGAAGAGCTAAAAAGATGTCTAATTTGTGGGTTATCTCGTTACAAAGTGAAAGATAATAATCAAGACAGTAATGAGGATATTACTATTAAGGGACCACCTACCAAGTCCATTTGGTATCTTCCAATAATTCCAAGGTTTAAATGTTTGTTTGCGAATCCTAAAGACGTTAAAAACATTAGACAACATGTAGATGGGAGGACATGTGATGGATTGATTCGTCATCCAGCTGACTCTATGCAATGGAAAGAGTTTGATAATGAGTTTCCCAAATTTGATGCTGAATCAAGAAATCTTAAACTTGGATTGGCTACTGATGGAATAAATTTGTTTAGTAATCTAAGTACTAATCATAGTTTTTGTCCTGTTTTGCTATTTATTTACAACCTACCTCCAAGCTTGTGTACGAAGCGTAAATACATGATGTTATCAATGGTGATCTCAGGTCCAAGACAACCAAGAAATGACATAGATGTATATCTTAGTCCATTGAAGATTTGAAACTATTATGGGATGAAAGGGTTGAGGTGTTTAATGGATTTGTTTGTGAGTCTTTCAAGATGCATGTCATGTTATTTTGCACTATCAATAATTTTTCTGCATATGAAAACTTGTCAGGTTACAGTGTAAAGGGTCATAAAGCTTGTCCTATTTGTCAAGAAACTACTAGTTATGAGCAATTGAACATGGTAGGAAGATAGTTTATCTTCAGCATCGTAGATTTCTAAAAAAATTTCACCCTTATCGTCGATTGAGAAAAACTTTTAATGGACATCAAGAGAATGACGAAGCACCAACTCCATCAACTGGTGTTCAAACTTATGAAAGGGTGAAGGATATTAAAGTTGTGTTTGGAAAAAGGAAAAAAAAAAGTTGTAACTAACATTTGGAAGAAAAGGTCTATCTTCTTTAATCTACCATATTGGAGTAAGTTCAATGTCAAACACTTTATTGAAGTAATGTACTTGGAGAAAAAAGTATGTGATAGCTTAATTGGAATACTTACAAACATTAAGGGGAAGACAAAGGATGATTTCAATGCTTGTTTAGATTTGATTGAAATGAAGATATAAGAGGAGTTAACACCAACAGTGGTAGGAAGATGCACATATTTGCCCTCAGCTTGTTATACTTTGTCCTAAGAGGAGAAAACAAGTTTTTGTAAATGTCTGAAGAGTGTGAAAGTCCCATAAGGATTTTCTTCAAATATTAAGAGTTTTGTATTTATGCATGATTTGAAACTAGGTAATCTTAAGTCTCATGATTGTCATATTTTGATGTAATAATTATTGCATATAGTCATTCATGGAATCTTGCCAAAAAATATGAGACAAACTATAACTTGATTGTGCGGATTCTTTAATTCAATTTATAGAAAAGTAATTGACTCAAAAAGAAATGGATGCATTGGAAGAGGAGATTGTTATTATTATATGTCAGTTGGAGATGTTTTTTCCTCCATCGTATTTTGATATCATGGTGTCTTTGCTTGTACATCTAGTTAGACAAATAAGATTGTGTGGTTCAGGTTATCTCTAAGATGGATGCATCCAGTTGAGCATTATATGAAGATTCTAAAAGGGTATATTAAAATTTATTTTAGTCTATAAGTCTCTATGATCGAGAGATACATTACAAAAGAAGCCATTAAATTTTGTTCGGAGAATATGTCAAAAACAAATCCTATAGAGCTTCAATCAAACTCTTGGCACAATAGACGATCAACAAGTAAATGTTTATGAGGCGTTCATATAGTAAGTAAATCACATGACAAATTTCTTCAAGCACATTTGTATATAAACATTACAGATGAGGTAACTCCTTACTTATCTGCTCATAAAGCCATTTTCAAAGATAATAATCCAAGACAACCAGAGAAATGGATGTTGATGCAGTATAACAAGACATTCATGGCATGGTTTAAAGAGAAAATCATGAAAGATCCAACAACATTTGAAACATTAACATAGCTAGCAAATAGACTTAAATTTGATGTCTTATGTTATATTGGATATGATATTAATAATTGTTCCTTCTATAAAAAAAGTCTTTGGATGATAAAAGTACTGTTCAAAATAGTGGTGTGACTCTTGAATCAGAATCCATGTTGTATTATGGTGTAATTGAGAAGATTTGGGAGGTTAGTTATACTAAGTGTTCAATTCCTGTTTTCAAGTGTAAGTGGGTGGACAATAAAAATGGTGTGAAGATCAATGAATCAGGAATGACGTTGGTTGATTTCTGAAAGATAGGATATTAGGATGAACCCTTTATCATGACACATCGAGTTTTACAAGTATTTTATGTCAAAGAGCCTACTTCTGAACATTGGTCAGTTGTTCTTAATGGGAAGAAACAAGATTTATCTCAAGAGGATGAACAATTTAATCATGATATTTGTCACACTCGTTCATTCACATCAACTATGATTACTAAGACCGATGAAGACAATGTCATTGATGATGTATAGACAACTAGAAAGGATCACGATGAAGGAATATACATATGTATGAATATATATTAATTTTATTTATTTTTTATTTGAATACTTACAATTATTAATTATATGTAACAATTTCTTTTAATTTTTTAATAGGAAAATTTCTAATACTGAAGGATCGCCTCCTATGTTGGAGTAGACGACCAATAAGTCTAGAAAAGGAGCTACTAAGTTGAGGTCCCTCTCACTTAGACGTAGTAGTGGTCAGAGGACACCTCTTACTATTAACGTTCACACATGTATAGCCTTTGGACCCAATGCTGAGTCTTTTAGTAGCTACCTTGGTGTATTAGTTCGCGAGAAGATTTCAATTTTAGTCCCATCATGAGATCATGTTACTAAGGCTGAGAGAAACTTTATTTGGCAAGATATCTTGGTAAACAGTTTGATAAATATTAATCCTTTCTTTCTTTTATAATTTGCCTAGTTATATAGTCTTAACAACTTTGTCTTTGTTTTACAAACACATTATGATATCCTTGATATTGAGAATAGGGATGACAATTAAACCCGTACCTGTGGGGATCGATCCGTCCCCGCTCCGAGTTTATCGGAGAAAACCCGAGTTGACCAGGGGTGAGGGCGAGTTCGGGTTTTTCCCGTTTTAAAAAGACGAAGGCGAGACGAGGATGGATAATGCAATCTCCACCCGACCCTCGACCTCGTCCTCGCTCCGACTTTATATTTAAATTTTAAAATATTAATATTTTAAAAGTATTTCATTTTTTTATTAAATATAAAGTCATTTTTTATATTTCACCATTTTTATTTTTCTTCTACCCAGCTTTTTTAATTTTTTTTGTCTTTTTTAATATTTTATATCAATTAATTTATTACATTATTCTCTC